TACGTTTAAAATAGTTTTGGGTAGTTAAGGTTTTCAAAATGGGTAGACGAAAGGTTATTAGTGAGAAAATTCGGTTACTGATAATTAAACTTTTGAATTCTGGGAAATCAAACTCAGAAATTGCAACTTTGTTAGACTTATCGCGGTACAGTGTGAGAAATATTGTTAGAAGATATAACGTAACTGGTTCAGTTAAAATTAAGCCACGATATGTGAAAAAAAGTAATATCACAAATGCCGACCGAAGAGCATTAACAAGAATAATCGTGAAAAACAGGCGTGCCAATTATTTACCATTAAGTGCTCTGTGGAGTGACGCTGTTGGAAGGAAAATTTCGAGGTCCACAATCCATAGAGAGGCCCACAAACTGGGATTTAGTACTTGCAAGGAAAGTTTTCTTAGGCTTAGATGGGCTAAAGAACATAGACAATGAACACCTCAACAATGGTGTGCAATACAATGGAGTGATGAGGCCCAATTCAAAGTTTGTGTTGGTGACAGTCGCAGTAGAGTTATTCGCAAAAAAATGAAGCATTCCATGTTGGCTGTCTGAAGAGAAAAGTGAAATTTCCAGCATCCATTTTGGTCTGGGGCAGTATGTCATCAAAGGGAGTAGGAAAACTTCATTTTATTGATGGAAATGTGGATACAAACAAATATTTGGCAATTTTAGAAAAATCGCTTTTACCAGTGATGGAGGAATGTTTGACATCCGGCCAAGATTTTGTGTTTTAGCAAGATGGTGCAGCGTGCCATACCTCAAAAAAGGCTATAAAATGGATGGAAGAAAATAATGTACCACTTTTGAAATGGGTTTCTAGCAGTCCAGATCTGTCACCTATTGAAACTTTGTGGCACGAGATGAAAAAGGTTCTACAACAACATCCTGTTCGTACAATCACTGAACTGAGGCAAAAGCTTCAAGAAATATGGGATTGTTTTACATCAAATTTTTGCCAAACCTATGCCCCAAAGAATTTCAGCCGTAATAAAAAATAAAGGTGATGTTACCCAATGGTAATCTTTCAATTGTTGCTTTGTTAACTTCGCGCATTTATTCGCACCTTGTTTATTTGTTCAGATGTTCTATTAGTTATAGGTCTAAGTGATTTCAAATATGACTAGAGTGTATCTAACATGTTTTTGAGGAAATAAATTGTTTTAGAAGTAAATAGTTTCGTCATGTTCAGTTTATAAAGGCATATTTTGGTACAATTCTTGAAGTGGGCCAACTGAAGTGGGAAGGGGCTCGTATATATTGCTTTTATTGTTTATTTTGTGGATAGAAATTTTACGGGTTAAGTGGTATGCCCAATAAAAACGCTTTATTATTATACTCAACAAAAAATAAGGGAGTAATTAAAATATCAAAATTATTCTGTGATTTTTGACATTTCGGTGAAAAATGGTCGTATCTAGACTTTGAAAAAATAATTTTGAAAGCTCAAGATTCTAGTTTTCAGACTTTTTAACCGAAATCTTTTAGAAGCAATGGTCCATATGCAATTGTAACAGATAGCGGAGGAAACATTTTTTGTACATGAGCTAGAAACTTTTTTCTGTTATGGCATTATAAAGATTAGATAGCGCGTTTATTCAGCTTCATTATCCTGTTTTTGAAATCTCGATACGGTCTCCTGGCGCGGAGATATCTCACATTGAATAAGAAAGGATCCATTGGGCATCGACCATTGATATCTCAGTAATCAGTGACCCCACAGAGAATGTAAGAGTTTTTTCGGAAATTGCAATAAGCCAATCTTTAAGAATTTTTTTGTTTCCTCGTTGATTTTAAAAACGTCAAAACATGTTACTCGGTTTTGAAAAATCGACCACATTTATGGAAATACTAATAAGAAAGCTAATGTTTTAAGGTTTGCTATACCTCAATGTACCCCTAATAACCTTGCACGACGGCAAATCCATACATTGTACTGTTTCTTCGGACCGATTGGTCAAAGTTTAAAAAAGATGCAAATTTTGTATCGGAAAAACACTGAATATTTTCAAGATTCGCCCATGGTCAGTATTGTGGTTCTTTCAAAATTACATGAATAAAAGAATATTATTATTCTAATTGTTTTTTTTTAATTGAAGGTGTTACATATACCCAATAGTTATAACAAAAAAAATACTGTTTGACTGACTTTTACCTCAGAGGATCTAGTTTGTACTGAACATAAACCAGAATCAACCTACTTTTAAAAGATACTTCATTCTTCCTAGGAACATCTGCAACGCTTCCTCGTATTCGTTACCATGAATCTTCATTCGGAAAAAATCGAGCGGAAAACAGTCGTGTTCACACCCTTCCTGGTACGGCTGCATTGTGTGCAACTTTGAAAGCTCATCGGACAAAAGTTAATTAAAATCGGATAATATACGGTGGAACAGCGTCAAATAATTCATTTCTCAATATCACCACCTCGCGGTCTGATGCCGCGATGCCGAATGGTCTAAGAGCCTGTGACACTAAAGCACGATAGTCGAGAAGATGAACTCAAAATTCAAAGAGACGGTTGACAATCAATTTTATATGGCGCTTCAGGGCGTGATTTGTAATTAGCTTCAATGGTTTGTTATCTGGTGTGTTTCAAAGAAGTCTCTGTGGAATATACATATACTAAGTGACATATAAATCCGAACACCCAGTTTAAATGGTTTTATTTTAATAAAAGTTGGTGAATGTATTTATTTTACTGTAAATAACAAGTGAACAAATTTTCAGCCTTATCAGTTGGACATTCCGGTTTTTATACTGCTTTTTTTTAATTCACTTACGCTCTAAAAATGAATATTTCAGCCGCAGTAAAGAATCAACGTTGGCGGATTTTGGTTCTTGACATCCTTTACGATCGGTTACGATGCCTAGAGTACGGAGACTTGTACGATTTCGTCAACTTAGTGAGTTTGATAGGAGCCGTATAGTGGGACTTCGGAAAGCTGGACTTTCTTCTCGGGCAATTGCAGTTAGAGTGCAAAGAAGTGTAGACACTGTGGTTTGGTGTTGTCAGGCATGGCTTCGAGAAGGCCGTACGCAAAGAGCAAGGGGCACTGGACGCCGCCGTAGAACAACAGACCGTGAAGATCGCCGCCTAAGATTATTGGCCTTAAGGGACCGTTTCTCCACTACCAGGTCCATTGCAAATGAATGGTTTGCAGAACACGGAAGACCTATTGGCATGCGAAGTGTTTACCGACGAATGAGAAGTTTTGGCTTGTTTTCATATCGGCCACACTGGGTCCTCCCTTTAACCCGAGAACACCGACGTAATCGCCTTGAGTGGTGCAGACAACGGTCACCCTGGGATCAGGAATGGAACAGTATTGTCTTTAGTGACGAGTCTCGATTTTCTTTAGGCATGCACGATGGTCGTGCCAGGGTTAGAAGGCGACGTGGTGAAAGGAGGAATCCACAGTTTTTTGTTGAAAGACATGTTCATCACACTGTTGGAGTTATGGTTTGGGGTGCTATAGCTTATGGTTCCAGGTCACCTTTAATCTTCATCAGAGGTAACATGAACGCGCAGCCTTATATCCACGAAGTTCTAGAACCCCATCTTTTACCCTATCTTGACACCCTGGCAGATCCAACTTTCCAACAAGATAATGCCCGACCACATGTTGCAAGAGTCACAATAGACTTCTTTCAACATAATGATGTCACATTGTTACCATGGCCACCAAGATCTCCCGACTTATCCCCAATTGAGCACGTGTGGGATATGATGGGTAGGAGATTGCTCAATTTGCAACGTCCTCCTCAGACTCTAGAAGCACTTTGAGAGGAGTTGATTGTTGCCTGGAATGAGATACCTCAGGAGGACATTGACCACCTGATCAGAAGCATGCCTAGGCGCGTTGGAGAATGCGTAGCACATCAGGGTGCATCCACACATTATTAAAGGTCAAAGGGCTTTAAAGCAGTGCAATCATTTTGAAATTTTTATCATTTACTTATTATGCTTCATTAAGTACCTATACAAAATTTTATTAAAATAAAACCATTTAAACTGGGTGTTCGGATTTATATGTCACTTAGTATATATAAACATTATCACATTTGTTTACTATTCACAGCAACTTGAATCTTGTTTTTTGTCTTAAACTTAAAACGCAATAAAGTTTTCTCAAGGGGATCATTTTGCACTCCCCTATGTAGGTTTTCCTATAAGACGTCAACTTGGAACTAGCTGTCATTCACTATCCTACCTAGCCAACAAGTTGACATTATGTGTTGTTGAGCTTTTTACGTAATACGAGGGATGTCTTTTAAGTTTTGCATATAGAAACATAGTAGGCCGCGCGGATCGAACTTCAGTAGTGAATCTTAACCTCACTCTTTAGTAAACTTAAATTCAAAGTTTCACAACAATACGTGCAGTGTTCTCACTACAGTGAATTTTCAAGTGTCACAAAGTCATTAGAAAAATGGAACTCAATCGAGAGCATTTTCGCGCCATAATTTATTACAACTTTCAGAGACAATTATCGCAACAAGAATGCCTTGCTGAGTTACTGTCTGCTTTCGGCAACGAAGCGCCACATCAGTCGACAATTTCCCGTTGGTATGGAGAATTCAAACGTGGACGGGTGAGTCTTAGCGACGATTTCAAGGTGGGTGCACCAATAACGGAAAACGTCGATGCAGTGCGCAAACTCATTGAAGATGACATGTGACATATCGCGAGATTGAGGCGTCCTTGAAGATCTCAAAGACCTCATTTCAAAAAATTTTACGTGAAGAATTATTAGTAAGAAAATTAGTTTCTCGTTGGATAGCCCACCTGTTGACTGAAGAGCAGAAAGCAGCCAGGGTTAATTGGTGTCAAAAAACGCTTAACCGTTTCAATTCCGGAAACTCAAAAAACGTGTGCAGCATTGTTAGTGGTGATGAATCGTGGATTTACTGTTATGAACCAGAAAATAAACGACAGTCGGCTGTTTGGGTGTTCCATGGTGAAAAAAGCCAACAAAAGTCATCCGTTCTCGAAGTGTTTCGCGACATTTGTGTCAAAAGCGTGACATATTGCAACAATTCCTCTTAATGAGCAAAGAACTGTTAATGCGGATTGGTATACCACCATTTGTTTGCCAAATGTCATCACCGAGCTTCGAAAAATCAACCCCGAAAGAAGAATCGTCCTCCACCAAGACAATGCAAGCTCGAACACATCCAAAAAAATAAGGCAGTATTTAACGGAAGAAAACCTGGAATTATTAGACCATCCACCATATAATCCCGATCTAAGTCCTAACGATTTCTTTACTTTCCCGAAAATTAAAAACAGACTGCGTGGTCAAAGGTTCCAGTCACCAGAAGAAGCAGTTGACTCATACAAAAATGTCGTTTTGGATCTACCAGCAAACGAGTGGAATAAGTGCTTCGAAAATTGGTTCGAGCGCATGCAGATGTGTATTAATCTTCGTGGAGAATACTTCATTTAAAACTACCTACCGTGTTGTTTTATTTCCATATGCAAAACTTAAAAGAAATCCCTCGTAACCACGCCGATGAGTTTTGAGACCTGTGCTCATTCAAACAATTTTTCAGGATGTCAAGACGAATGACATAAAAAAGTCAGCGGAATTTAACCACAACCACTTTTCCCATAGGCATTGTAGCCGGGTCCTTTGAAGTATCTCAATTTTCTTTTAACAGGTCCTCTAGGGTTTGTATCACCAGCTCTCCTACTAGAATAGCTAGTGGGGTTCCGTGGTCTCTTCCGCAGCTGAGGCTCGGCAGAATTTTATAGCAATAGCAAATTGACCGGACGACGGATAACATTTTATACTGTTGTACATTGTTTCCGAACCGCAGTCAGTTTTAATAGTTCTATACCAGGTGTAAGCAGTTGTAAGATCCTGATACCCAAACAAGGAATAGTAAACGGACGTTAGGTTGGCGGAGGGTGATAAATAACTTAAGGCGAGGTTCGCGGGTTATTTGGAAAGAATAAAAGATGAATTTAACTTGTTTCTGACTTCATATACCTTGCGAATTTCGTCTTTTTTCTATCTACTAACTAACCTAATTCAAGTGAAAATCGATTTCGGATTTTCATTCATTTGCTGCATACAAATACAGGGTGGTCAATATATAACTGACCGATTTAAACTGGTGGCGACGTATAGTAGTTAGTTAAAGCACATGTGTCCAATTCATCAAGGAGCGCTACACAATTCCACAACGCTTCCGTATTGTTAAAACGTTTTACTTAAATAATGAGCGATTGTTGCAACGATTCGGAAGCTACGACAAGTTTTCGGTCGAGAAAATGTGCCCAGTGTCAACACCATTCCTCAATTGGTGCGAAAATTTACTATATCGAGACAGTTCGTGAAAGTGTAGTGGAGCGCCCTGAGACGTCTACCAGACATCGTTCTCAAGGAATGAGTATTTGTCGGTCATCATTATGCACTATTTTAAACAAAGACTTGCATTTGCGGCCATACAAAATTCAGTTGACCCAAGAACTGCAGCCTAGTGACCATGAAAGTCGCCGACAATACAGTTATGCAATATTGCAGCTTAATACCCAAAATAACGATTTTTACCGATAGTTGATAATGACCGATGAAACCCAAGTCAATATGAACGGATTTATTAATAAGCAGAATTGTCGTATATACAGGGTGTTTCAGTTTATTGTTGCATAATTTTAAGATTCGATAGAACTTTTAAAAAACTCGAAAAATGCGTGGCTTCCGAAATAAATTTACTTTCTAAAATAGTTTTTTTTAAATATTTCGAACAATATTTGATGTATAACAGTGAAAATTGGTATACAAGGGTTTTTTGGTACGACAAAACGAACCATGGGCATAGTTTTACTGTAGCCGCTAGAGGGCGCTCTCTACTGTACCTGTAGTGTATTAAAATGATTTTTCTTAGTGCAATTTTTTGCTTTTTGAATAAAAAAGCTGATTCTTCGCACTTTTCAACATAACAAAGCTCTCTTGTGAATTTTTGTTATAGTTAGCCGTTTTTGAGATATTTCGATTTTTAAGGTTCGATGCATTTTTAATTATTTATGATAAAATAACGTTAAAAAGTCAGTATCTCGATAATTTTCAGAAGTAGGCTGTGTCTGCAAATATTTTTGAAATTGAAAGCAGAATAAGGTCAAACGTCAATTAGTTGACAGTTAGTTTTGTTGTATGTTGAAACATGCAACGTTTTTTTGCAATTGTGAATGCACGAAATTTAGTTTCTTTTACCTGTTTGTTTTTTTGTAAGTTTTATAAAAATGCCATTTTTATTCTCCAATCAAGAGTTAGCGGATATTCATTTTGTGTATGGCTTTGTAAATGGAAACACAGCAGAAGCAGCCGGAGAATACGCACGAAGATTTCCAAACGGACGACATCCAACTCGCTCAGTATTTGTAAGAGTGCATCGCCAAGTAATTGAAAATGGTATTGGAAATCTCCAAAGGGATCAAAACATAAATGTTCGTCAGCGCAAATTTACCCGTATGATTCTGCGTGAGTTTGATAGAGGTCCGACCACAAGTGTTAGGAGAGTTTCTGGTGCCTTGGGAATTTCAGCAAGCCATGTTCACCGTGTTCTTAGAAATGACCATAGACGTCCTTACCATTTGCAACCTGTGCAAGGACTACAGCCAGGGGATGGAGAATGAAGAATCACATTTTGTCAGTGGATTCTTGATAGAACTGATAATAATAGGGAGTTTTTAAGTAACGTTTTATGGACCGATGAGTCATGCTTCACTAGACGTGGAGTGGTAAATTTTCATAATCAACATATTTGGTCGCATGAAAATCCGCATGCAGTTCGGGAAAGAAATTTTCAGCATGAATTTAGTGTGAACGTGTGGATTGGTATCTACCGTAATCGACTATTTGGATCTTACCTTTTGCCTGCAAGGTTAAATGCTGCGACCTTCTTGGAATTTTTAAAGGCTGAACATGCAAATATATGGGATGATGTTATGTTAGATTTAAGAAGATTGGCCTGGTTCCAGCTTGATGGTTGTCCAGCTCATTATTCGAGAATAGTTAGAAACTGGCTGGTCGAAAATTATCCAGAAAGATGGATCGGCCGTGGAGGACCAGTCGCCTGGCCTCCACGATCCCCTGACCTAAATCCATTAGATTTCTTTGTGTGGGGATTTCTAGATGAAAAAGTGTACCAGACTCCCGTAACCACAAGAGATATGCTAATAGACAGAATCAGGAATGCATGTAATGAAATAAGGCCTTATTTGACTAATGCTATACCACGTCCGATCATTCGTACATGTGAACTGTGTATTGAACAATTGGGTTTACATTTCGAGCAACTACTTTAGATTTTGTATGTTTGTCCTAACTATCCAATAGCATTTTAGTTGTAAATAATTAATTTAATTTGTTAAAAATAATATTGGAAAATTAAACAAATTAATATTCTGTTTTTTTGTGTTTATTTGGAGTTAGGAATTATTGCTGTGTTTAAAAACACAATCTAAACGATCATCTTAATTACTTGTAATGCCCAAATCGAAAATGTAAAAAAAATATTATTTTCCCATAAATAATTAAAAATGCATCGAACCTTAAAAATCGAAATATTTCAAAAACGGCTAACTATAACGAAAACTCACAGGAGAGCTTTTTTATGCAGAAAAGTGCGAAGAATCAGTTTTTTTATTCAAAAAGCAAAAAATTGCACTAAGAAAAAATTATCGGTCATTTTAATACACTACAGGTACAGTAGAGAGCGCCCTCTAGCGGCTACCAAAAAACCCTTGTATACCAATTTTCCCTGTTATACATCAAATATTGATCGAAATCTTTTAAAAAAACTATTTTAGAAAGTAATTTTAAACACCCTGTATTTCGGAAGCCACGCATTTTTCGACCCATGTTTATATAGACTTTATGCATTAATTTTAAAAGTTCTATCGAATCTTAAAGCTATGCAACAATAAACTGAAACACCCTGTATAAGTTTCAATAAAATATTAAGATGACAAAAATGCACGTATTTCATTTCATTTCACAAATATTCAAGCTACAAACCAGTCAGTTACATATCGGCTACCCTGTATAACGTTAAGATGCTCTTTTGACAAACACGTTTTGTAGTATTCATATAACGAATGGAGTGGAAAGAATATTAGTAATTTTACATACGGTGCCACCTTACGAATGTTTACAATTAGCTCATTCTCAATACGTAATCGCTAGACAACAAAAATGTATATCAAGAGCTGGATAATTTGTCATAATCAGTAAAACGCATGTGACTTAGAAGTTTGAAAAACAATTGTACAACCGAACAATAAGTTTTAAAACCATAATTATAAAAATATCCCTGAGTAGTTAGGAATGACCTTTCTGAACACATCGATTGATAAGTTGATATTTATCGATCTCATTAAACTATCATTATTATTAATTGCAGGTTAATATTTACTTTCTGTATAAAATGTGTTTATTTGAAGCAATATTACGTTCACGAAGAATGGAAATCTTTCATAACAGACATAAGAAATAGCTGGGGAATAACGACTGATTTCGAGAAAATCGGTAATTAAGGTTTACGTACCTGTTGGAAAGTAAAATTGATGAAAAAATAAGTCGTAAAGAATATCTTTGTTGAACAGTGTGTTTATTGGTAGCTTTAAGCGTATTTTGGGGGGTCATCGACATATTCGTCACTGCTGTCTTCTGGATGATCAAGACATATTAACTGTTGATAAAATTTCTTACTTTTAATTGAGATTGGACCCTGGTAAAGTTTTCTCAATCTTTCCTCTTGTCGTTTTTGTTGATCGTTTTGCGTCTTTTTTTAGATTCTTCCGAATTACCTTATCAAATTTAGAACTAGCACATAGGCCCATGCATGTCGATTTGTGAAAAACTACGCGAGGATTGTGTTTACAAAACTGGAGCATCCTGTCTGGTCCGGTTGGAAAGGGGCACTTCGTTGGATAAAATGGCGATAAAAACGGACTCCAATCTTGAAAATCAAAATTTTTGTCACAATCAATGACTTCAAATGGTGTAGGTTTCACACGGCAATTTTTCAATTCGTCTCTCCAGTCATCCGATACCTCAGTGTATGCTCTTTGGTTCACGAGACTCTCGAGGTATGAATGCCCCTTGATCGGGAATATTACTTTCACAGTAGTAAAACGATTTTTCTTGGTAACCGAGTAATCCAAAAACCGAATAATTGTAAAGTTTTTATTTTGCTCTGCACAGGAGTCACAGAAAATAGCAAGTTCTTTTACTTCCATAGGCAGGATGTTATAAAAAAAGTGTTACAGCATAGAACAGACATCGTCAGCTCCTTTCTTAGCAATAGATCCATCGTAGGTATAAAAGATAGAATTTGAGTTTGACAGAATGCGGATGTTAAAACTGATGAAATTCAGTTGCCGCTTATAGTAAACATCATTTGTCGTGATATTTGGACACGGCAAGTTTTTTTGGTATTCCA